TAATAGAAGAAAGTATTCTTGCATTGAGGGAGTACTTGAGTGGAGGCCCAATGTCCTTCTGCTACCTTAATACTAAACCTATAAATACATAGTTTTAAGCTTAATCTGGGCTAGGGAAACAAAACCAATGACACTTATATATGTACAAAAATAACTTTCTGTCAATTAGCAATTTTATATAAAGACAATCCCATCCTAGTCCAAACTCGAGGCTATGGGTTCAGTGCTAGCCAGAGCCCTCTTCAGACTCACAGGCTATGCCATAGAAAGATGAAATGGGAAGATCACAGGTTGGTGTGTGCAGTCGCATGAATCCAAGGTCGGGAGGAATATGGCAGGGCACTAACAGCTTTCCAGGTTGGGGGCCCATATTGGGCCCCTGGAGGCAGCCATAGGGTCCCAGAGAGGAGGAAAGTGAAGGAGCAAAGAGAGAACTTCTCATTGTCTATAAAAATATTAAAATGTCACATTCCCAACAAAGTCTCATTTGATTGATAGGTTGGACTCCATCCCTACTTTCACACAGGTTCAAATTGACATAAATTATAACTGCCACATCTTTAGTTTTCTTTCTAAGTCCATGAATCATTAGGTTGTAATTTTTATAATCTTAGTTTTCCCTTCTCTGAGAGAGAATATGAAACATATTACCAAGCATATTGAAATCTTCGCATTAAAGACTCTGTAACCACCACTCTTGTTGTAATTTCTCTCACCTTGGTATTTTCCTTCCCTTCCCTTTTTTCACCCCCAGGCTAAACTGTCATGGGGTTCTTACCTGTGGTTTTGGGCTGGGCGAATTGCAAGGACATCATTTTCTGGTAAGTACTGCTAAGATAATTGTTTTGTACCATAAATAAATTAGATTGAGGCTTCTAATGGTTTAATCCACTCCACAGGATTGTGCAGAAGAGATGATATGATCTCAGGCTTGTTCTTGGGCATTCCCGTGGCATAGAAGCTCACATCTTCAAACAGATGTTTCTCTCTTTTACCCACTCTTGTTAATAAATTCTTTCTTATGTCAGTCCAAAATTTGTCTTCTTTTAAAGTTCTTCCAGTCACGTCTCATTGTCTTTATTCGAGCCATACAAAACCAGTTTAGATGCCTCTTCCATTGACCAGAATACCTGTTGTGGAATGAATTTCCAAGTTTGTAAACTAATGTTATATGACATAGCTCCAAGTCCCCTCATCATAGTCACTCTACTATAAATGCAAAATTTGTTCGTCCCTCCTGGGGATGTGATGAATGGCTTAAGCGACTACTTTTAATAGATAGAATACGAAATCTTATTTTGCTGAATTTTTGCCAACTTTGAACACAATTTGCAACATCTAATTACTAATTTCTTTCTAACTTGTATATGCTTGGTATATGATGGGGGGAATCACTTTTTAAATCTGAGAAAATATAAAATACATTTATCTTCAGTTATTCATTTAGCATCTCCTCAGTCCCTATTATGTGTCCAGCACTATGCTAGATCCTGGATCGTAAAGACAAAAGGCACAGTCTCTGCTTTCCATAGCCTCAATATGGGACATATGGTACAGGCCAGTATGCATACCATTAATTACAATTGAAGACGTTTTTTATTGTGAATTAGGTGTGAAGGTTTACAAAGCATATCACACTTTACATTCAGTAATTCATACACATTCTGATTCAACTCATCCATTTCAATCCCTCAATGTCACTTCTTGCCTGTTTCCATTACTCTTTCTTCCCTAACTTTCTGAACATTGTCTTTGAGTAAATGCCCTTTCAATCTTAAGTGGCTGATTATTCTAACATGAGAGTGAGTTTAGTTCTTGATTTGAAGGGTGAGGGCCATAGTCTTGGGAGGTCTGCCAGTCTCTATCTGACCAGTAAACCTTGTATCTTTTATGATTTTGAGTTCTATTTCACATTTTCTCAATACTCTATCTAGGAATTCCTAATGTGATCCTTTTCCTTTAATTATAATGTGTTGTCACAATTGCCAACATAGGAAAGCGTAGGGATTATGGGCTGAAAAACATGGGAATGTTGACATATGGAGGAAATGCCATATTGGAGCTATCCAAGTATGCTAGGCTCAGGTCAGATTGGGACCTGGAGCAGGAGAACGATCAGAGGGTCTTTACATTATAATGAGAACTGATGATAGGGGTGACTTAATCAAATAATCTGAGCCTCCAAGGAATGAGCACTTTTACGTAAAGCTGGAGGGGTGGTGGCTTGAAATGTCACTGAAGACTGAGACTGCAGACTGTCCCCTGACAACAGTGTCGTGACAGAAGCAATACGGTCTTCTAAAATCCTGTGCTTTAGTTACAGCAAAATTGCTTGAAGAGGTGAAATGTTAGGGCAGAGAGAACCACTGAAGATTGCCAACTGACCAGCTACCACGTGAAATGTTAGGGCAGAGAGAACCACTGAAGATTGCCAACCGACCAGCTACCACCGAGTCAACCCTGACTCCCAGTGACTCCATAGAACAGGGCAGACTGCTCTCGGACAGTTTTCAAGGCTTTAAGTCTTTACAGAAGGAGACAGTTTCATCTTTCTCCTGTGGAGCGACTGGTGGGTTAGAACTGCGGACTTCTCAGTTAGGAGCCCAGCATGTAACCATCAGGACTTCTTCGGAGGGAATTAATTTAAAAATAAATAAGGATCTGGTTGGAGGAGGAGAACAGGGAGTCACAGTGACTTCCGGGTTGGGCTTTGGCTCAGGATGGCAGGGTAGGCTACTGGGTGAACTCAGCAAAAACTCAAAAACTCACTGCCTTCAAGTCGATCTTGACTCAGCAACCCGATAGCCGCCATTTAAGATCAGGTACAACTGCCCCTGTGCGTTTACAAGGCTGTAACTCCTTGTGGGATCGAAAGCCTTGTCTTTCACCCTCAAAGCAGCTGGTGGTTTCGATCTGCTGGCCTCGCCATTAGCAGCTCAGTGTGTAACCACTATGCCACCAGGGCTCCCAGCTTCCTTTGGGGTTCCACAAAGAACTGTGGTGTAAAAGTGATTCTGCCTGGGGTCTCCAGAGACTAACCAGGAACTAAATGCCATTGAATTAATTTCACCGTCATGAGTGTCAGCGTAGATTAGTGCTTGAGGATTTCCAATGGTTGGTTTTGCAGAAGGAGATCACCCACAAGGTGCCACCCTTGGAGGCAGACACAGAGTCCCAGCGAGCAGGAAGGTGAAGGGGCAGAGAGAGAAAGGGAGAAACTTTTCTCCCTTATAAAAAGGCCACACCCCCAGGGAGGCATCATCAGGTTGCAACCTGATTGACAGGTTGGATTCCACCCCTTCCTCCACACAGGTACCAGAAGTTGACATAAAATCTACCTACCAATATCACCAAATGGAAAAATGTCACAAAACCTCTACAAAAGCTTCACCAAAGACACAAGTTATCAGTAGAAATATCAGGAAGCTTCTTGGGCTACTTAGATTGATGAGACAAACAGAGAAGGCCGAATGGAAAGATCGCTAGTCAGCTGATCCATGGCTCGAAGCACCCAGCTTTCCTCACACTATCTAACAAAGTCAGACCTCTTTGGGGTCACTGCAGTCCAATAGGCCAGTCTCTACCTCCCTAGCAACGGTTCACTTGAGGAAGCGACCTCACCATGGAAAGGCAAGATCAACTTCAGAATACATTATCTGGTAAAAATAATACAAGATGGGATCTAGTAAGGATTCTTTGTGAAAGTGAGACTGGCTACGTTTGCAACGTTGAGATTTTGGCAGGTTGAGGCAAAAATTTACAAGACATTCTGTTTACCTGAATTAGGGCCTTTTCTTGGTTCTTGGCATCATGTTTACCAAGGTCGTTTTAAAGCAGTCTGCCCACTGGTGAGATATTATTAAAAATCACAACACTGGACTGTGGGATACTGGACAGGAGAAGCATGGTTTGCCAAAATTACTAAAAGAAAAGTCAAGGAAACTCCAAAGAGGAAAAATGACTTTCCCACATCATTCTTGTTCTAGGGCACTGGTTCTCCACCTTCCTCATGCCACGACCCTTGTGGTGTGGTGACCCCAACCATCAAATGATTCTCGTTACTACTTAAGAACTGCAATTTTTCTATTTTTATGAATCGGGCGACCCCTGGAAAAGGGTTGTTCCACCCCCAAAGGGGTCGTGACCTGCAGGTTGAGAACCATAGGATCTATAGAAAGACAAAAGGCCAGTGCGCATGCTCTCAGTTATTCATGAAGCTGCTATGAAACCCACATATAACATAAGAAAGCCTATGTGCACAGTGGATTGCAACAGCCATCTGGAAGGAGTCAGCCAAGCAGACCAGCATTTGCAGCTGTATCTGCGCAAAAGGATAAAGCAGCGTTTTTAATGTAGACTCCTTTTTGGCAAGCCTGCCTTATTTGATGCATTTAACATTGACTGCAACTATGATCTTTCGAAGACCAAAGAAGAACCGGTGTATTTGAATTGTGGTTCTGGAAATGAATGTTGACAATACCATGGACCGGGGGACAGACAACAGAAACCTGGGTGAAGGGAGATGTTGGACAGTGCAAGACATGACAAAATAATAATAATTTATAAATCATCAAGGGTTCCTGATGGAGGTGGGCAGGGATGGAAGGGAAAAAATGAGGAGCTGATACCATGGGCTCAAGTAGAAAGCAAATGTTTTGAGAATGATGGCAACAAATGTACAAATGTGCTTGACACAATGGATATATGTATGGTGGTAAGCGTTGGTAAGAGTTGTATGAACCCCCAATACAGTGAATTTTAAAAGAATACCATGGACTGCTGAAAGGACAAATCCATCTGTCTTGGAAAAAGTATGGCCAGAGTGCTCCTTAGGGACAAGGATGGTGAGACTTTCTCTTCCATACTTTGGACATGTTGTCAGGAGAGACTAGTCCCTGGAGAAGGCCATCATGCTTGGCAGTGTAGAGGGGCAATGAAAAAGAGGAAGCTCCTTAAGGAGATGGACACAGTGGCTGTAATAATGGGCGCAAGCATAGGAACAATTGTGAGGATGGTGCAGGACCAGGCAGTATTTCATTCTGTTGTGCATAAGGTCACTATGGGTCAGAGTCGACTTGATGGCACCCAACAATGACAACAAGCATTTGTAACTTACAAAAAAAGAAATACAAACATTTCCTTCTAGAAATAGCCAGAAAATGGTAACTGATCATTCAACTGAATGTAACACAAAACCTGGCAGTTCTTCTGTATCTTTAGAAGAGGGCCATATACAGAGTCACTTTTAGAGCTTTCAGGAAAATGAAAATGTCTAGTATTAGAAAAAAAATAATAACCATTGGGGTGGGGTGGTGAAATTCCACTAGTGTATGTAGACGAGGCTCTTGCTCAAGAAAGCACAGTGAAACTTGGTCAGTTTGCAAAACTTACTGTCTATGCAGGTGAATGTTGTACAGTATACCATACCCAGGGGAAAAATTAAACATATGTAATAAGTTACATTTTTATTCATAATATGTAAATAAAGCATATTGAACCTTCTTTAGATATTTTCATTTCATATTCCATTGCAGAAAAATAGCTCACTGCACGGGATAGTTTGGGTTTGAAATAGCTGGTCAGCAAAGTGTTACAATACATAAATAAAATGGACGAGTCACTTCTGTCTCATTGTGATTCTATGTGTGTCAGATCCGAGCGGTGCTCCCTAAGGTTCTTGACGGCTAATCTTGCAGAAGTCGATCACCAGGTCTCTTTTCCAAGATACCTCTAGGTAGACTCAAACTCCAATTATTTATTCGGTTAGTAATTCAGCATATTAACTGTACTGCTCAGGAACTGAACTTTGGAATTAAATGTAGTAATAGACCACTTGTAAACAAATTTAAACTCTTTGCACCTCCAGTTATCCCTTCAGTTAACAGAAGTGTTTTCTCTTTCCTTTAGCATGTGAATTCCTTGGTGGACGATTTGCTATCTTTTTTGGTCTCGATCAACCTAAATACCAGTATGTGGTAAATGAGTACTACAGAACACAGCATAAGGTATGTGGCATCCTGACGGGGGCATAGGCTCCTGAGATGGGCAGGCTTTAGGACAATATAGAGCTCAGCTCCACTGATCAGAATGACTTTGCCTTCCTTTGCATCTCATCTCACAGCACCCCTTACTTGCCTCTCTTGTGGAAGTGACAATGTCAGGGGATGGATCATACAGGGTGGTGGAGTGTGGTGCTTGAGACTGCTGTACAGAGAAGGCTTCTCACAAGGCATCTCTATAAGGAGGGCACTCAGAAGCTTTTGGCTGTACAATTAAACATGTCCTTATGCTTCTCCTTAGCAGGAAAGTGACAGGGAGATTGGAAGGAATGGTGCAAAGGCTCTGTCAGCTGAGGGTGCTAATGAGAAGAGTCACCTGCAGACTCAGGGCCTCGAGTATGGAACCCGACAAAAGGACACTGCAGAGGACCTCCCTCAGGGAAGCACCTCATCCAGGGAAGAGCCTAGTCACTGACTAGGGAAGAGTGCCTATAATGGGAAGAGTGGCTGTGGTTTCCCTGTATCTCTCTTCTTTTACAATTGGTTACCATGGTAACAGCATCACAGGTAGCACTTCTGAGCCAAATGTGACCCCAATCTCCTGGTGATTTATTTTCAAGCATCCAGAATTGTAAGCAGCAATCCAAGTCATTTTGAATTCTTTCTCAATATGAATTTCTACTCACAAGCTGGGAGCCCAACTTCACTCAGTGCCTTGAGTCTCTTGTGGTTTGTTAGTTCACTTGTACAAATGTTTTTTATAAAAATATGGGTCTGGGAGCTTGGGGCTGCAATGCCTTGGCTTTGGGGGCCATGGTGTAATCATTAAGCTCTGTTCCTTAGGAAAGTGGCTGGGCACTACAGAGTTTAATTAAATCCCCTTTCAGGTTTGGCATGAGGTATATCCTTCTGAACTTTATAATAAGCAAACATTGCGAATAGCTATATGCCAAGGTTCTTTTTAGAATCTTTAAGAATTAGATGCTTTTCCTAGCAATCAATCAATTAATGAAATTATCTAAGCTGTGGAAAAAGAACTGGGGAAAAACAATTATTTTTTTCTATTTTATTTTATATTTGATGTTAATAGTTAATGAAAGGCTGTTTGCATATTTTTAACCTGGAATGATCAAACATGAAAATTATAGCTAGATAACATAGAATCTATATCATAGACAATGTTTTCTGAAGGTCATGATGATGTAATAGCAAGAACACATTCTGTTCTGTTTTCCAGTGAGAAGCCCCAAGGCAAAGTATCCGTTCTCCCACTTACTAGCCATGTGATCATAAGTGTCCAAATTTCTGAGCCCCTCTTTCTTGCAAAACAAGGATAGCATTTGTTTGTTCCTTAGACAAAATGAGGTAATATGTGTGAAACTATTTTTCAAACTGTGAATATTTGATGTTAATAATTAATGAAAGACTGTGATAGACTATTACATTTGTAGCCCCCCCCCCAAACCATCCCCTCCTACATTCATCCCTTGTATAGTGTCACCCATATGGATGCTGGTTTGACCCTGTGACTTCCTTTGGCCAATGGATAGTAGTAAATGTGATACAGCCTCCTGGAAAGCTCTATGTTGTGAAGCAGCCGGGGCTACCCTTTCAAATAACGAGGGTCACTATGGAGAGAAATCCCAATGATGAAAGACCATCTAACCCAATGGTTCTCAACCTTCCAATTGCCGCGACCCTTTAATACAGTTCCTCATGTTGTGGTGACCCCCAACCATAAAATTATTTTCATTGCTACTTCATAACTGTCATTTTGCTACTGTTATGAATCAATCAACCCCATGGGAAAGGGTCATTTGACCACGAAAGGGGTCAGGACCCACAGGTTGAGAACCACTCAGCTGAGTAATCGACTGCAACAGAAGAACCGTGGAGCTGAGCCCAGTAGGTCCCAGAGAATAATGAGAAACAATAAACCATTGTGAAAAGTTTTTAAGTGTTTTTTTGTCTACTCATTCAGATAACTAATATAATAGTTCTAAGAGAAAGGTAAGTTAGAGTTATTTGATATGTAATGGGGCAGAATTAGATCTGAACTATAAGGTGTGGTTAGTTGTGTGTGTTAGCTTATGCTGGAGAAACGACTCCAACATAGTGCTGAAGACACAGACGTTTTTGCTTCTGAGAGGTCCATTGTCGTTCAGGTGCCCCTCACACAGATGTTCTCCAAGTGTTAGTTCAGTATTGCATGCTTCTTTGATCGCAGGGATCCAATTGACTGAGCTATTCTCAGGGTTGCTAACGTAGGCGTGGAGGAGAGTTAAGCACCTTCTATCAATACCTCTACCAAGAAGTGACTCATATCACCTATGTTTATGTTTCTAGCACCATAGCAAGTTCTAAGATCACATTGAACTTTAAGAGAATGTAAGCACCCTAAGACATGAAATAAAAGCGGCTTAGGGCATAGGTGATAAACTATGATTCAGGACCAATTCAATGGCACCTAACAACACAACGTGTTGTTGACCATTTTAGGAACTCAGCCAAACAGAAAAATAAAAAAAATTCCTGCCTTCTTGTTGGCCTTGAGTTTCCACCAGCCAAAGTAAGCAGGCCATCGAGGGTTTTTGTGGTTTATGTGACCAACCTCTCAGATGCTTCCAATATTCAATATTCCCATGAATTCCTAGCATTCATCCCTGTGTCGTGCACTCTCCTTTGAGCCTGCTCAGCTGTGTGACCAATCGAATACAGCAGACATAGTAGTATCACTTCCAAGATTGCTGTGGTTGTGGTTGTGAGATGCTGTCCAATCAGTTCTGACACAGTGACCCCCACGTGCAACAGAACAAAACACCGCTCGGTCCTGCACAGTCCTCACAATTGGTGTGTTTGAACCTATTGCTGCAGCCATTGTGTCACTTTTGTTGAGCGTCTTCCTCTTTGTTGCTGCCCCTCTACTTTACCAAACATATCTTTCTCCAGGGACTGGCCTCTCCTGAGAACATGTCCAAAGTATGTGAACAGAAGTCATTCTTGCCTCAGAGGCGTATTCTGGCCACACTTCTTCCAAGACAGATTTGTGTGTGCTTTTGGCAGTTCACAATAGCTCCCATATTCTTCGACAGCATCATAATTCAAATGCATTGATTTGTTTTCAGTCTTCTTTATTCCATGTCCAATTTTCACATGCATGTGAGCCAGTTGAAAATATCCTGGCTTGAGTCAAGCACACCTTAGTCCTCAAAGCAACTTCAAAATGTTGCTTTCCAAGACTTTGAAGAGGTCTTGTGTGGCACATTTGCCAAATGCAACGAGTCCTTGGACCTCTTCACTACTGCTTCCAATAGCATTGATTGTGTATCCAAGCAAGATCCAATTCAGTTTCTTCTTCTTTATAATGGTGCTACCTATTGAGAATACCTTTCTGGTATTCTTCAGTTGTGAGGATATTGGTCTTCCTTACCTTGAGTTATAATCCACAGGGAAGGCTGCGATCCTTGATCTTCATCAGCAAGTGTTTCAATTCCTCCTCACTTTCAGCAAGATTGTGTAATCAGCCTGCCTCTGATCCCGGTGTCATGTTCTTCATCATATAATCCAGCTTCTCTGAATATTTGCTCAATATATACATTGAACAAGTATGGGAGAGAATATAATCCTGATGCAAAACTTTCCTGATCTAAAAAAAATCATTTAAATTAATTACAGCTCTTATCACAATCCATCCATCCATGTGTCAAGCACATTTGTACATACGTTGCCATCATCATTTTCGAAACATTTTCTTTCTACTTGAGCCCTTGGTATCAGTGCCTCATTTTTTCCCTCCCTCATTAACCCTTGATAATTTATAAATTATTATATTTTTTCCTGTCTTACACTGACTGATGTCTCCCTTCGCCCACTTTTCTGCTGTCTGTCCCCCTGGGAGGGGGTTATATGTTGCTCATTGTGGTCAGTTCCCCGTTTAACTTTCCTGATATTAAACTCTGCAGTATACTCTTGTTCTGTTCCCACAACTGCCTCTTGATCCATATACAGGTTTCTCATGAGCTCAATGAAGTGTTCTTGAATCCCCATCCTTCTCCAGACTATTTGCTTGGTTTCTCGAGTGTAGGTAATACCTCGGTTCTTGGCTTTGCACCAGAAGGAATTCATGCTGAAGTCTGGTTTGTAATCCCAGTGAGTTTTTATGAAGGACGTGAAAAGTTTCAGGTTTTACAGTCTCAAAAGAGTACACACTATCAGGGAAGCATGCCAAATGGCGCATAAGCCACGCTGGGGCTCACCGCTGAACACAAGCAACCTCGTGGGACTGCGTGCCCACACGTGGTGACCTGGGGTCACAGAGACCGCAGCACCACCGAGCGGGCGCAGGAGCAGGGTAAAAGAGACTGCTTTCCCAACGCCAAGTATTTTAAACCACTGGCTGGGTAGGTATGGTCAAAGGTGTATTGGTTGACCCCATTGGCTGAAGGAAGCCCACCTGGGCCTAGTTTGGGCCACCCAGGTGTGACACCCACCTGGCTGGGGGTGGGGAGGTGGGCTGAATTGGAGCCTACCCAGTTAAAGCCTTCAAGGATGGCTTATGCTTGCCTGATTCCTTCCCAACTTCTTTTATGGGGGCCTGTGCAGATATGGGAAGGACAACCCCCTCTATCTCTATCCCGGCTACCTAACATTTCCATAGTTTGTTATGATCCATAGAGTCAAATACCTTGGCATAGTCAATAAAACACAAACAAACATCTTTCTGGTATCCTCTGCTTTCAGCCAAAATTCATCTGACATCAGCAATTGCGGGCAGCAGAGGACCTGTAAGGAAGTGTAAGGGGCCTACCCTACACTCATAGCCACAGGGCTTGGCAGGCCAGCATTAGTGATGAGGTACATCTCCACAGTTCTGAGAGGACTGATAGCACCCAAATACCCGTTCTCCAGGGAGAGATTTCTCCACCGGTACCCTCATTAACATGCTAATGTAAAGTTGTCTCCTACAGGCACCTGGCTCCTCACTGATGCAGTTAAAGGATGCCTAGTGGTCAGCTTCTTTTGTCCATCTTACTCAAGGACTGGTTTACTCCATTCTTCTCCTAAATGCCTGATACTTATCGTGAAGTGTTCCTCTCAAAACCTCAGGTTATCTGAGTAACATGCTGCCCATGTGTATGTGTTCACTGCAGGCTTGTAGGCCTCTGTACCAATCAGACCCCGTGTTTGAATAACTCAAGACTCTTCTCCCGATACTGGAGATTAGTCCCCTGTGCCTGCTTTTCCAGCTCCTTTTTTCTACAATGTGCCTTTGCTGCCCTCGGGCCTGACCCTCATCTGAATGTGGCCTGACCCGCTGGCAGTTCCTTGTCAATGTACTGCAGCACGCTTTGTTGGATGTTATTCAACAAAGCTTCACTTGTACGTGATATCACTAACATTTTTTATAATTTCCATGTTCTTTTGGGTCACTTTTTTTTAAGAA